ATTGTTGGAACTCATTTAAGAAGTTATCAAGTTCAAATAGCAACCACATATACTAAGAGTTCTATAAAGAACTCAAGAAGGATGGAAGTCATGTTTAGTTTCATATTCCAAGGCATGGTGAACAACAAAGCACCTGTACTGTTTCTGAATTTTTACAGCCAGAACTTGCATGGACGGTTTTATACGATGGCATCAAGAAAAAGGCAACATGTTCTTTGAAGGAATAATAGGATTTCCATGTAGGCATATGATTTATGTTTTTAAGGTAAACCAACTCAGAGATATTCCTCCAAGTTGTATTAAGAAAAGGTGAACCAAAAATGCTACACCCCGAAGTTGCATATACGATTCGTTATGCTGAGCTTACAAACATGTGCAATCATTTATGTTACTTAGGATCTAAGTCATTAAAAGGATTCCAACAAGTTTTGGGTGTCATAGGGGGAGCTTAGAAAATACACAAAGTTATTCAATTTTAAATATTCGAACAAGTGACACAATCACTGAACCTTGTCAATCTAGGAATTTTACCAGGGAACATATTCCTAATCCTATCATAGTTAAGACAAAAGGTCATCCTGGTAGCAAGAGGGCAAAGCCAAGTGGTCAAGAAAATATGGATTCTGTGGCCAAACAGGGCATACAAAGTGTACATGTGCAATTCGGATATCTCAAAATCATGGTGAATATACTTGTAAATTTATTCTTAAATTATAATTTTTGTCTATATCTCTCTATGTAGGTGATGGGCCAAGGCATATTCCATCCAGTAACCAATGTAAGCATAGTAATGATGAAGAAAGAGTGGAAGCAATTGTTTGAAATTTTGTAGAAAGAGATTTCAATACAGAATTTTTGCAAAGACAAACAACTTAGGGTTTATTTTGTTTGCCTTTATTATATTGAAGTTACAAATATGCACCTGCTACTATGGTTTTTATAAATTATGGTTTATTTTAGTGTTCAATTTATGGTTATGTGAGTGTCATGAGGAAAGAATATTGGATTATGATAGTACTCTCCTTGACTAAATCTCTTTTCCTATTTAAAGGCATTGATTTTTATTATTGTATTCTTTCTTCCAATATGATATACAGTTGTAGTTGATGTTAGGGTTTCGTATAGAGTGAGTTATCCATCCAAATTCCAATATGATATACAATTCTGATCCTATGAGGCTATGATTGGACTTTTCTAACCAAAATTGTATGATTAGATTCCTCTCCATTTCAAATCTATCATTACAATCGCCTCATGTGTTGCATAGTTTGATCTATCCGAAAAAAAAAAGCTACATTGCTTTATTGTGATTCTGCTATTTTTACTGTGGGTTCTGCTGCTGTTGATAAATTAGAATGTTACTGTTTTGTTGTTTATATCTAGGTATGAGCAAGTTGTACAAAAAATTCTTCACCTAGAAATGCATTTATGCAGCCCCTTAGTGTTGATTAAAATACAAATTAAAGCACTCTACATGAATGCCCATTTTCTTTTTTTTTTTTTTTTTTTAATTTTGTTCATTTGCTCATACAAGAATATGCATCATGTGGTGTATATTATGTTCTATCAAAGCTGTAGGGGTGCAAGTAAAGTACCCATCTTGAAGAGTTAGCCTAGAGATTTTAAGTTGTGATGAACAGGATATTGTTCCTTAATCTCCTCATTCTTGATCAAGAGTATCTACTATTTACATTGTATCCATCTAAGTTGTGTACTTCCTTTTCATCTCCTCTACTTCACCAACTGTATCTAACCAATGTCTTTTCCAGTTTCTAGCCTGTTTCCTTACACTCTGGTCAACTTTACAAACTGATCTTTTACGTGGTAGCTATTATTCACTATTTACTGGTTCAAAATTCAAATGAAACATAGGCACACCAACCATGGAAATTATTGAGAGTTCATGTTTGGCATGCTCTCTCCATTATGCCACCTTATTATTCCCAATCCAATTCCAATGCTTCTATCAACTGAAATCTTAACTAGAGCTGTAAATTGGGTCGTGTCACCCGTGGTCTGACACAACCCGACATGAATTTGGCATGGCTCGGCACGGCCAGACATGATCGAGTGGGCTATTTTGGACCTGGGGTTTAGGTCCACGGGCCGGGTCAGCACGGCATGACCGAGCAGGCCATGCCACCTACGGCTCGCGTGCCGGCATGCCCAGCCAGTGGCCTAGCCCAACCCAACCCATATATATTATTTATATATATATATATATAATGTATTATATAAATTATAATTATATAATAATATATATTATATATTATATTAATAAAATAAATAATGTTTTCAATTTTATTATACTAATTTATTTAATTATTGTATATATAAGCAATTGTATACATTAAAATTCATATAAAATTAAAATTTCAAGTTTTTTTTTTCAATTTTTTAAATAAATAGCTTTGACCCGGTCCACGGCTTGACTTGGCCCACGGACTAATCCAGCCCATGGTACGACACAGTATGGCACGGGCCTACACGGGCTTGGGCCATGGGTCGTGCTAGGCCAACCCCCCAAGTTATCCTAGGGGAAGGTGACATGGCCCAGGATGGCCTGCACTTTGTGCGGGCTGCCTGCAAACCATGCTATGCCGGCCCAACAATACCCGTTTTACACCTCTAATCCTAACATCTTTCCCCTATTTTCCTCTTCTCTCCCAAACCTAGAACTAAACGCATCTCCCCTGGCTCTTCTCTCTCTCATGCACACCCTTTCTCCTCTCTTCATAGTTAATTAATAGAACATAGAAGTTTGGCAGCCCTAATTGATTTTTAAATCTTGAAATGGAAAGTACTTCATGACCTAGGTTTTGCACTATGTCTAATAGAAATGGTAGTTGTTTTCGCAAGATATTTTCATGCATTCATTTTCTATTTCCAGTTCCCTCAACAGCTCCGCTTATATCACCCTCAAATAATTTGTGGGGTAATCACATGACCATCGGTGATGATAGAGAGTTGCAACATTTCTTTTGGTGCCTACCAAGGCATGCAGCATGTGTGTGGCTTTCGGTTTGAAAGGTTGGATTGATGAGCAAATAATACAAATCACCAAACAAAAGAGAGACTTTTAGTGGATGTTAGGAGAGAAAGAAGGGAGACTTGCATGCATTTTTGTGGGTTTCAATATACAATTGATGCATTTAAGCTACTCTTTAAAAAAAAAAATGTTTAGGAGATTAATAAAATGGTTTGGTTTACATTTAAGCAATAAACCCGGCCAGGCTCCACAGATACATTAAGGCCATGTTTGGTTCACTACTATGGGCCTCATTCTCTTAATTCTTGCTCATTCTAGGCAAGAATAAATAGCATTAGAGTGTTTGGTTACAAAATTCTTGCCAATGACCACATTATTTTTAGAATGAAAAATCAACCCATAGCACAAAAATTGGTTAGCCTGCAGCATGAAAAATAAGCATGCCCCATCTTGCTCATTTCATTATTTGAGGAAACTCTACTTATAAAACTGTTGTCGTAGATGTTTACTTTTGCAAAAGCACTTTTATAAAAGTATTTTTATGAAAATACTTTTATAAAAGTACTTTTACGAAAACACTTTTATAAAACTACATTTACATGAAAGTACTTTTATGAAAACAATTTTATGAAAGTACTTTTACATAAAAGAACTTTTATGGAAGTACTTTTACAAAAGCACTTTTACGAAAGTACTTTTATGAAAGCACTTTTACAGAAATACTTTTATGAAAGCACTTTTGTGGAAGTACTTTTACGAAAGTACTTTTGTGGAAGTACTTTTATAAAAGTACTTTACTAAAACACTTTTGTTTAGGTTGTGGTGCACTTCCAATCACATTGAAACACGTTAGCTATGGATGACACCTAATTTCGCATGTGCAAATGTTTTAAACAGTAAGCTTCGCCCCGTTATTTCCTATTTTCTCCATTTTTTAAATTTAAAAAATTAAAAGTGAGAAGAAACACTCGCTTTGGCAAGTCTTACTAGGTAGATTTTTTGATAGCCCAATAGACAAGAAGACAATGTTGAGCTTTTGGGGTCTTGTTTTTAAATATGAAGACAGATATTTTAAACGGTAAGCTTTGCCCCATTATTTCCTATTTTCTTCATTTTTTAAAATTTAAAAAATTAAAAGTGAGAAGAAACACACACTTTGGCAAGTCATTCTAGGTAGATTTTTTGATAGCCCAATAGACAAGAAGACAATGCTGAGCTTTTGGGGTCTTGTATTTAAATATGAAGACAAATATTTTAAATGATAATCTTTGCCCCATTATTTCTTATTTTCTCCATTTTTTAAATTTAAAAAATTAAAAGTGAGAAGAAACACTCACTTTGGCAACTCATTCTAGGTAGATTTTTTGACAGCTCAATAGAGAAGAAGACAATGTTGAGCTTTTGGGGTCTTGTTTTTAAATACGAAGGTGCAAATATTTTAAACGATAAGCTTCACCCTATTATTTCTTATTTTCTCTATTTTTTAAATTTAAAAAATTAAAAGTGAGAAGAAACACTCACTTTGGCAAGTCATTCTAGGTAGATTTTTTGACAGCCCAATAGACAAGAAGACAATGTTGAGCTTTTGGGGTCTTGTTTCTAAATATGAAGACATATTTTAAACGGTAAGCTTCGCCTGTTGTTTCTTATTTTCTCTAATTTTAAAATTTTTTGATAGAACAAAAAGTTAGAGTGCAAGACGAAGACTTTCCGGGAGGTCACTCATACATCTTAGTACTACTCTCACTCAAGCACACTTTAGCAAGTCTTTCTAAGTAGACTTTTTGACAGCCCAATAGAGACAGTGTTGAGCTTTTGGGGTCTTGTTTTTAAATGGGATGGGATGTTAAAAACAGCCGCAAAGCCAAAAACTTCGTTTGGAGTTTTCTTATTTTCGTCTTTTTTGGTCATTCTACGCGTTCGTCTTTACATCTTTCGGTCTATGCGATATAAAAGGAAAAGACCAATTTTTGGCAGACCAAAAGACGCGCCAAACACGTATCGGAGGAGAGATCCGATAAATCCATAAAAGCGAAAAAACGCTCCTATTAATTTTCTAATTCTTCCGTTCATAGGGCGGCACTCTACTGAAACCCCCATCTCTCTTTGCAGGCAAGTAGCTTCCTTTTCTCCTTTCTTTCTCTTCCTTGTTCTCTCTATGGTATGCCTCAGTTAAGCTTTTCCAGTCTGTTTTAAAGATTAGCTTTGATTGGGTCTGTTTGGATTCAGCCCAGTTCGTTGAGGAGTTAGTTAAACATGGCTTCCAAGGGAGGCAGCCTTAAGTCGACCTCCATTAATGGCGTAAAGATGTATTCTGTATCGGGCGGAAGCTCTGTGCCTGATTGGAAGAAAAAGAGGCTGAAAAATATTCGGAAAGATAAAGGTTGGTTCCCTTTCCCTTGTCCTGTCCTCTTTTTTTGTTTGTTGGTTTTACGAGAATGTATCCGTAGTGGGCAATCCATTTAATAATTCTATTAGGTGTTCTGAATGTAATCTTATGCTATTCGAATACGACCACTCAATGAGCACCGACAATACGAAATTCTGAAAAACTCCAAAAATCCCCCTTTTAAAATAGGAAAGGAAATAAAAGGAAGGTTTAGGTTTAGTATGACCTTAGATAGAGCAGAATGGAAGAACAAGGTTCGTGCTGCCGAACCACTTTGGTGGGATAAGGCAGATGTCGATGATAATGAAGGAAATTTAGTAAATAGACTACATTATGTGTTGTGCTTACTATTTTAAACAGATTCTGCCTTGGAGGTGTAATTGGTTTTGCAAAATTTATGAAATTACATGATTTGGTTTCTTGTCTGAGCACTTAACCCACGTGTTTCTATAAGGTGGATGAATTACAAAGCATGCTGTTAACTGCGATTTGATATTTTATTCTAGCCTATATTTTTATATATTTTTGATAATTTCTAGCCTATATTTTTATTGCATTCTTACATGTACATACAACACTTGATAATCACATGCGTTATGAAGGGTGTATTTTCTTATCCAATATAATGGATTCCATGGCTCTTAATTAAATCTATGAACTAAGAAAAGGCAAAATGTAATTGCAATTGTAGACACCTCTCCTCTTATGTTCTTTTAATTGAATAGTTATATTTCCCGATCAATCAATGATGTCTTTTAAGTAACTTTGCATATTTTTTGCTGTTTTCATAATTAGACTACAGACGGAGGGTTGATTTGATCCAGGATCTGGGGTTTGAAACTGCAACAACCAAGATCAAGGTGACTCCTGACGGAGAATTTCTTATAGCATCTGGTAATTAAAGGTTCATACTATGTTTGCATACTTTTTGGTTGTTGTTGTATCTACAGAGTTGTTATATGTTATGCTTGTACGGTTCATTGACTTCATGCTAATTATTCAGGTTTTTTTTGATATCCAGGTATCTATCCTCCACAAGTTAAAGTATTTGAGCTAAGGGAATTGTCGTTGAAGTTTGAAAGGCACTTGATTTCCGAGATAATAGATTTCCAGGTGCTTACATTTACCATTTGGTCTGAAATGCCAATTATTTTTCAATTTTTAAGAACAACCAAGACAGGTTTATTGATAATGCATAATGACTATCTATTATTTCCTCATTTAGACCCTTCCAGTGAAGCTATAGGAAATGAATCTGACATGGTAAATCTTGCTTGCCATTACATCAAATGGCAAATTGTGTGGATGAGAAAGGAGGATGGAGGCTTGGGTTTGGGTAGGATTATTATGCTTAGGAATTCCTCTCTTGGGAAGGTGGCTATGGAGATTACCAAGTTTGATAGGTTGTGGCATAAGGTTATTATTAGCATTCATGGTTTAATGAATAATGGTTGGATGCTAACTTAATGCTAGAGCAACCCTTGCATCATTCTTGAAATGTATTCACTTCCTTTCTTCCTTCTTCATAATTCATTAGAATTGATGCTGCTTCTGGAAATAGAACTAAATTGTGTGAAGATTCCTAGTGGAGGATTTACTGTCAAAAGGATTAATTCCCTTCTATCCATCCATCTTTACAAATAAAAGCAAATTCATTTCTCAGTAGTTTTGTCTATCATTGAGTCTTGTATGCTTTTGGAATTTTCTATGATAGTAGAATTTAGGCCACAACTCTTCTGGTTTGTTCTTTTGTGTTCGTATTTTAAAGCTTTAGTCAGATTCTGCCCATTTCCTGTGAATGCTGTTTTGTTCTTTTATGTTCGTTTTTTAAAGCTTTAGTCAGATCCTGCCCATTTCCTGTGACTGTTTTGTGTGGTCCAATGTGTATATCTTTCTGTTTGGACACTATACACATGATGACATGAAGATTAACACTTTTGAAAATCTTTAAAAGAAAAGATCCTATTGGCAAACTGTGGCTAACTCCTTACCCCCTAGGTATCCAACTTGTTATGAACTATGCTGCTCAATCTAATCAAGATGAATTTTGATGTCTACATTCTTGCTAACCCAGGGGAACAAGGATTAGGTTTAGAAACCTTGAAGGACATATCTTGGCAGTGTTCTCTGGTCCCATTGGATAATAGTGATTACCCAAGAGCAGGACTCAACATGGATTATGGCTGGATAGTGGAAGTCTAAGCTTCAGGAATTTAATAGTGGAAGGAGATTTTCATGTAGTAGTTACAAAGGATATTGGGGGTTCATGGCAGTAAAAAAAATCCAAGATATAAAAAAGATGGATAGGGAGATGGAAATCAAATATAGTTGGACACCAAGATCAGCCAATTGTATGGCTTATGCATTTGCAATTGTAGTTTTAGCTTCATATTCCAAGTTGGATAGAAAATCCAAAACATTCAATTGTAGTTTTAGCCAATTGTATTTGATTTCCATCTCCCTATCCAATTGAATGTATGTGCATTTGCAATTGTAGTAGTTACAAAGGATATTGGGGGTTCATGGCAGTAAAAAAAATCCRAGATATAAAAAAGATGGATAGGGAGATGGAAATCAAATATTGTTGGACACCAAGATCAGCCAATTGTATGGCTTATGCATTTGCAATTGTAGTTTTAGCTTCATATTCCAAGTTGGATAGAAAATCCAAAACATTCAATTGTAGTTTTAGCCAATTGTATTTGATTTCCATCTCCCTATCCAATTGAATGTATGTGCATTTGCAATTGTAGTAGTTACAAAGGATATTGGGGGTTCATGGCAGTAAAAAAAACCCGAGATATAAAAAAGATGGATAGGGAGATGGAAATCAAATATAGTTGGACACCAAGATCAGCCAATTGTATAGCCATACATTCAATTGAATGTATATGCATTTGCAATTGTAGTTTTAGCTTCAATTTCCTCTCAAAACATGGCAAATCATCATATTTAAAAGATAAAAGTATTTTAAATATACATTTTCAATATTTTGAAAATTAATTACTAATATAATAGGTATTTAATAGAGCAATTTCATATCAATTAGCAACTAAAGAAGGCTATAATTTTATATGATAAAATTTAAGATAGAAAGTAAAAGAGGGAAAAAAACCAAGGATGGAGATGCTGTTTTATTTAATGTCAGAGAGAGGGGGGAGGGGGAGGGAGTACATGTTTTTGGGGGCTGTTTTTCTTTGTGTGGGTATTTCTTATCACCTCTTTTGTATTCCCTATCCTTCAACTTAATAATTTTTTTTTATTTAATACCAAAAAAAATTCAATGGTAGAAGTGACACATTATTTTCACTTTTTTCTGCTCAAGTAGATACTGTCTGATGATTATTCAAAGATTGCATTCCTGTGTGCTGATCGTTCTGTCTGCCTGCATGCAAAATATGGAAGCCACTACAGCTTACGGATTCCAAGGTTTTTTTCATCCTTTTTCAGAATATAGTATTAATATTTCTGTTCTTGTATTAGAAGTTATTTTGTTTGCTACCTTTTTTTTTGTGTCTCTTGAATAATCATGGATGTTTCAATATAAATTTTCTTTAACCAAATTTAGTATCGCTATCTTCTCTTAATACCATCTAGTGGTTGGTATCTAAGGGATATGATGTTAAGGATTATTTCTGCAAGGAGTCTAATTCTTTTGATGACTCCTAAAATATGTTACAAAAAAAGCTTGATATTTAGTATCAAGGTACTGATAACCTTTGTTTTGCTTCTGAAAAAGCCTCAGAATAGTCAGTCTTCCAATTACCGAATAGCACTGTTTCATCAACTCATAATGTAATGAAAGAATTGAGGAGTAATACTGATTCTAAGACTGATTAAGGGTAAATATTATTATAAAAAGTTCTTCTCTCAGAAACTAGCGAGGCTTTAAAAAAATATCTTGATATGGTATTAGCATCGTCTGACCTCAGCCTCTTTCTTCATCCTTGTTAGTGATTTTGCAACTGGCTTTCTTTAGAATGTACAAGGGAATCAGGGTCAAGTATGGGTCAATCATTTCTCACCTTCAATATGTGGACTATTCTTTGGTATTTTAGAAGCTTCTTATGATCAAGTGTAAAAGTTAGGTTTATTATCCATTTATGGCATTTGAAGATTGAAGTATTATCTCCTACCATTCTTCTGGTTGCATCGAAAAAATAAAGGTTCAACTTTTTACTATTATTTTTATTTCAAGCTGAGGTGTCTATGGTGCTTACATTGTTTTAAGTTTAATTATTTAGTGTTAATTAAGTTCTGCACGTTAAAATCTATATTTCTGTTGACAGAACATCATAAGGATATTCCTGAGAGTTAGGAGAAAATATGATAATATGCCAATAAGTGAAAAGCTTGCGATGTAAAACTTGCTGAAACTGAGAGTTGGTGTGATACTGAGATGTGCTAAATAACATATTTATTAAAAATAAACAGAACTGTATGTACAAGTACAGTCTCTCAAGGAGATAAATCATGGTTTGAACATATTGCCTAGACTATGAATTTCTTGCTATTTTAAAGACCTAATAATTCCTAAGGGAATATTGAGGTGTGGTGTCCATTAGAAACTGAATGAAATTGGAACATGCATATGTAATAGAAACTTTGTTACTGCAAAGAGATTAGCAGAGTACAACATCAAGCCTAATAGGGTAGGGCAAGACCAGAAACAGGGTCTCCCATACTATCAAGAAAAGAGGACTAGGAGGCAGCCCAAAAACTGGTACCTGGAAATAAAGTGTATGGTGGAAGAGATACTCAAATATCATGCCAGACCTCTCAATAATTATCCATAATTTGTCACCTAGATGCTTAGGCGGGTGCCTAGGCGATGGATTTTTTTAATTAAAAAACATGTATCCTAGGGTAGTTCCCTAGGTTCCATAACCATATTTCCTTAATAATTATCCATAATTTTCATAAGTATTAAACTTCATGTTAAAGTCTAGGAAATCACATGTATTCACGAGAAGAAAAAGAGAAAGAAAAGAAAATTCAAAAAATATAGGGCTGAACCCCTATTCTTGTCATAGGAAAAGAAGAAAAGAAATAGGTGGAAGAAGAAGAAGAAGATGTGGAAGAAGAAAATGTGTTAATTAGACAAAATTTTAAGTTCTTCCTTATTGGTTCAGGTTTTGAAGTCTTTGAGGGTTCAATACAGCAGTTGGCAATGTCTATGTTGATTAAACTCTAACAAATAAGAAAATAGTAAAAAGAAATATGTATATAAACACACAAAATGAATATTTTGGTTTAATAATGCCTATTTTATAATTATAATCTCAAAAGGTTAAGAATATAAAAGTGTTTTATAACATAGTATATAAAACTGCTTGGCATTTAGGCGAGGCGAGCCTCCAAGGGCACCTTGTCACCAAGGTATCGCCTTGACAACTATGCCTTCCATCAGCATTGATTTCTAAGTTTCCCTCAACTGGTTAAGGTTTAGATATCTATGGGCATCATTCATCTGACCTTGTAGGCAAATAGTGTGCTTTGGTTTAGGGAATTATATTTCCTAGATACTTTTTTATGAATAGCAAAACTGCCATGGTTTTCTGGCCACCGACCAAGTTTCACCAGTGAATGGCTGCCTATATGATGCTTCTTTTTCAAACCTCCATCCGAGATTGCTTATTGTTCTCCATTATCTTACTGTGGGGCTTCAGAGACTTATCAACCATTTTCTCCTTATAAAAAACATTATTGCCTATGTTCAATGATCCACTGATCTCCTTGAAAGTCTTCCATTGGTTATCATCCTATTCAACCCAATGTGGCTTCTCTGTGTTGTTGATAAACTTCTTTCTACAAAACTCCTCAGATACTTCAAGCCATGGACTGTAGCCTCCTGGTTCCGCTTCACTTTCAACTCCATGAGATTTCTCATCAATCCTACCGGCCCATCCAACTCATTTGTCTTTTTATTCCCATAGGTTCTCTATTTATGCCCAACAATAAATACCACAGCTGCTGCAAAGTAAGAGTTTTTCATATTGGAACAGATGCCAAATGGATTCCCTCTTACTTTTCAATTTGTATGCCGAATGGGTTCAATGGAGACTTTCTCAGGACCTTCAACATGTGCTTCTCTCTCTGCAATATTATCCAAACAACTTCTAATAACATCTTTGCATCGTACTCAAACTTCTTCCTCCACAGGCCTTTAACCTTTCCAATAAGACCATGTGAGTTCAAAGGCTTATCAGAAATTACCTTGCCATACACACAATAAACATAGCTATTCTGCATGTTTATTCTTTTCACAATGATAATGGCTACTAAGTACTAACTAGGGCAAATGAGACCAAAGCTAAAACTCAAAGCTTCACAGTGATGAAGCAAGTAAGCTTTCAGTGGTTAAAGTGAAACTCTCTCCCTGAAGCAGTACCAGTTAGGGTATGCCACCCATTAACCCATTAGCTCACTTCTGTTTGTTATTCATACATGCAGACTGGGTGATATCAAAAAGGTATTGTTTGTGTAGTGATCAGTACAATCCTCTCTAAGATGCTCTGTTACTAATTTGTGATTATTGATAAATAGTAATGAGGAAACCATAGGAGGAAAAAGAAATGTATTAGAGAATTTTTAGAGCCAAGTGAACCAGTTGACCCCTCTCTCTTGTTATATTACTGAATAATAAAATGATGATATTTCTCCCTGATATAACATCACATATTTAACAAAACGAAATTGAGATTTTCTGATTCAATATTTTTTTTTTCCGAAAAAAATTGTTAGAATTTAGAAGTGAATGAGGTTTAAAATTCCTTATTAGACCTGATGTTTTTGTAATTTCAGCAGCTCTATTATGGTATATTTGGTAAGAAGGAAATACTGTTAGCATTATAGCTACTTGTATGTATATAACATTATAACCTCATCTTTCACTGTTTAGAATTGTATTTTTACCATTGTAATGTTAGCAGCCATACAAAGAGTGAAAGTTGCAAATCAATTAGGTGTAGGACAGCTTGCTGATAAAAGAAAAAGGTGTAGGACAGCTTGTTATAGAAGGGGACTCCAGTCTCCAAGGTGGTGCTGGGGTGGTTGCAGAACCCTGAGGAAACTATATGGTGCTACGGAAATGAAGTAAAAAAATTTAAGTGGCTGACAAGGAATGTCTGGTAGTAATGGGTGGGGAGATCAGCAAATGCTTTGGATGATGGCTTAGCTAAGCAAGGGGCAAATAGGGAAGCCTTATTTTGGGCTCAGCTGTAATGCTTGTCTTCTTTTAAGTTTCTTTGTAATCAGTTGAGAGAAGCTGCAGCTTGCTCCTCTCCATGGGCTGTTGTATGAGTTCTCCATTATTTTTTGAAGTAATAAAACTATCTTTATTCATAAAAAAAATACGTGAAGGCAAGCAATTACTCAAGTATGCAGCTGTATGCTTTTCACCACGACATAAGGAAAACATGTTCTCGAATGCTGATAGTTTTCTTGTTTCCTATATATTTTGATTCACACTTTGGCTCTTTAGTTAAAGATTAAGGTTAGGAATATTTAGTCATGATAGTTTACTTGTTTGGATTTGAATTTGGGTCTACCTGACTTATCCATATACATATTTGTTTTATAGGATGGGAAGAGATACTGAATATGATTGTTGGTCTTGTGACTTGCTCTGTGCTGCCTCCTCGCCAGATCTTTACAGAATTAATTTGGAACAGGTTTTGTGTTTAAATCTTGTAACTACTCTTTAAATTATATATGGCCCTTTCTTTTGGGGTTTCTTGCCTCTTGTTCTGCTTTACCATCTGAATTGTATGCAGTTGGCTGCAACATTCTGTTGTCATGTGGAAACTCAGTTTTTCCAAAAAGGAATCAAGTTCTCTCTGTGATTGTGCACATCTGATATTTTTGTCTTTTTTGATCAGTGAAAATTAATTTTATTAAGGCAAACTTAAAGGTTCCAAGAGGGTGGGTGTAATCCACCCCAAACAACAAGAGATCACAGAGTTTCCCAAAACAACTGCTGTCTTAAAGCCCCTTGTTTAGCTAAAGTGTGTGCCAAGCCATTTGTTGTTCTTCTCATCCATTTAAAAGAAACATATAACTCCCTTATTAAGTTTACAATCTCCCTAAATTTGTATCGGAAAACCCAAGGGATTTGGGTACTGCTTCTTGTCCAAGAAATAACCACCTAAGAGTCCCCTTCCACTTCTAGATTGTGGAAACCAAACTGTTTAGCAAATTTTAACCCCTGCCTACGCTGCCTAGTTCTGCTGTCAGTGCATCACCATTCTCCAAGGGTCCTGAATACAAAGCTACCAATCTTCCTTCATGATCTCTAAACGCACCCCCTACCCTTGCCAGCCCCATATTACTTATAAAAGAAGCAATCCTATGGTGAGCGGCATGGTGAGCAACGGCGGTGGTGAGTGACAACGGTGAACAGTGACTTTTGAGCTGAGATTGAGATCAGGAGATTCTGATCAGAAACTTGGTTTTTGATAGCTGCGGCGGTTCTTATTAGAATTCGGCCTGCCCTTGAATCTTGTTAGGCTGATAACAGCCAAGAAGAAGGAAGAAAGAAAGAGAGAGAGAGAGAGAAAGGAGAAGAAGAGAAGAGAAGAAGGGGAGAGAAAAGTCTGGTTTGAATGAGAGAAAAAATCTCTTTTCCCATTCGACCAGATTTGTTTTATATTATTAATACTGTGGAAAAGGCACATGTTCCCCTACTTAAGTGAGGGACACTAGTTCTAACATAATCTTACACATCAGCAACCTAAACATAAGCAGAAAGACATAAATACCCCTACACACTCGACACTAACACTCCCCCTCAAGCTGGTGAGTATATATCATATAATCACAGCTTGTTACATATGTAGTCCACTCTTCCCCGACTCAACCCTTTAGTAAATAAGTCTGCCCATTGGTTCCCTGTGTTAACATATGCAGTATCCAGCACTCCACTCAGCACCTTCTCTCTCACAAAGTGACAGTCAATCTCTCTGTGTTTGGTTCTCTCATGAAACACCGGATTAGAAGAAATATGAACTACAGCCTGATTGTCACAGTAGAGCTTCATTAGAGTATCAGCAATGTATCCCATCTCCTGTAGAAGGTTCCTTAGCCACACTAATTCACAAGTAGTATGTGTCATAGCTCTATATTTTGCCTTTGCACTAGTTCTTGCCACAACTGTCTGCTTCTTACTTTTCCATGTCACCAGATTACCCCCAAGAAAAGTGCAATAGCCTGTGGTAGATCTCCAATCAGGAGCCCCTTTTAAATACTTCACAATCCTTAGAACTGCATCCCAATGTGGAACCAGAGGTTTCTGCATGAATTGACTTACCACACTAACTGCAAATAAAATGTCTGGCCGAGTAATGGTTAGATAGTTCAGTTTACCTACAAGCTGCTGGTATCTGCCAAGGTCTTCAAACACTTCACCCATATCATTGCTCAACTTAGTGTTGGTTTCCATAGGTGTTTCAGCTGGTTTAGCACCTAACAAACCTGTTTCTTCCAGCAAATCAAGGACATATTTCCTCTGATACAAGTTAATACCATGCTTAGACCTTGCCACTTCTATCCCCAAGAAATGTTTCAATTTACCAAGGTCCTTTGTCTGAAAATGTTTCTGCAAAAAAGTCTTCAACCTATCAATGCCCATTTTATCATTTCCGATAATAATAATATCATCTACATACACCACCAATAGGATCTTTCCTGCCTGAGAGTCATGATTGAAGACTGAATGGTCAACTTGGCACTGTTTCATACCAAGCTTCTTTACCACCTCACTAAACCTACCAAACCATGCTCGAGGAGATTGTTTAAGCCCATAAATGGCCTTTTTTAGTCTGCACACCTTACCATCCTCCCCCTGAGCAACAAACCCCGGTGGTTGCTCTATATAGACCTCCTTGAGTAGATCACCATGCAAGAAAGCATTCTTGATATCAAGTTGATAGAGGGGCCAATCATACATAGCAGTAAGAGAGATCACAACACGAACGGAACCAATCTTAGCAACCGGGGAGAAGGTCTCTGTGTAGTCAATACCATTGGTTTGGGAGTACCCTTTGACAACCAGTCTAGCTTTCAGCCGCTCTACACTACCATCAGGTAAGTACTTAACAGTATAAACCCACTTACAATCGACAATCTGCTTACCAGGAGGAAGAGTGGTGAGGTCCCATGTATGATTATGAGTTAAAGCTGAGAGTTCTTCTTCCATTGCATGGCGCCATCCTGGAGAGGCAAGGGCTTCCTAGACATCCTTAGGGATAACAACAGAGGATAAAAAGGAGATAAATTGGCGATGGGAAGCAAAAAGGTGAGTGAGAGAAACATAATTAGAAATATGATGAAGGGTACAACTGCGTTTACCTTTCCGCAAGGCAATGGGAAGATTAAGGTCAGATACTGGGAGTGGGGCTGGTGTGGGGACAACTACCAGATCTATCGACGATGGAGCTGGAGGAGGAGCCGGTACATGTGGTCGATGTGTATACACTTGACGGATAGGTGGCCGTTCAACAGGTGGTGACACCGGAGGCAAGGACTTGGTCATAGCTGGAATAAGAGGAACAAAATCTGCAACTGGAAGAGGAAGGGGAGGAGGTAATGAGGAGGAAGAAACATCACCGGACCCCAAGAAAAACAGAGTAGACTCAAAGAAGGTAACATCAGCACACACAAAGGAACGTCGAGAGCTAGGATGATAACACTTATACCCTTTCTGAGTTTTAGAATAGCCAAGGAAGATGCACTTAATGGATCATGCATCTAACTTGTCCTTTCTTGGCCCCAGATTATGGACGAAGTAGACACACCAAAAAACCCGAGGAGAAAGAGGAAACAGAGACAAGGGAGGAAACAAAGTGGTGAATGGAGAATGACCATCAAGGATAGACGTGGGCATTCGGTTAATCAAGAAGCAAGAAGTAAGCACCGCATCACTCCAAAAGGGTTTGGGGACATTAATGTGATGCATGAGAGATCGAGCTGTTTCCAAAAGATGACGATTCTTTCTCTCAGCCACCCCATTTTGTTGTGGGGTGTAGGTATATGAAGTTTGATAGATAATGCCATGTTGGTCTAAGTATTCTTGAAATGATAAAGAGAAATACTCATGGCCATTATTGGAACGGAAAATTTTAATGTGAACACCAAATTGGTTGCGAATCTCAGCATAAAATTTTTGGAAAATGGTAAATAATTCACTCATTTCTTTCATTAAATAGAGCCACGTTATCCTTGAATAACCATCAACAAAAATGACAAAATATTTATATCCATTGTATGACATTACTTTATAAGGACCCTAAACATCTGAATGAACCAAAGAAAAAAGACTTGACATACGGGTATCAACCCTAGGACTAAAGGGAACACGATGATGTTTCCCCAACTGGCACGACTTAAAATCCAAAATAGAAAGATGACTCAACGAAGAAACTAAAGACTTCAAAACTTTCAGCGAAGGATGACCAAATCAGCAGTGCCACTGGAGAGGAGAGAGAGATGACTGGAGAGCTGTTGATGTATTTCCACCACTGTCAAGATAATACAATCCACCTGCTTCATGCCCTCCACCAATCTTCATCCCCGTCTTGAGATCCTGAAAAACACACGAAGAAGGGTAAAAAGTAATAGAGCAATTGAGTGACTTGGTCAACTTACTAACAAACACAAGGTTAAACGGAAATTTAGGGACATACAAAACTGAGGATAAAGGTAAGGGGGTCAT